TTCTGCGCCGCCTTCAAGCCTGCCATGCCGCGTTCCGTGGTGGTGAGTGGCCCGGGGCCATTGCCCCTGCTCGGGGCGGGGCTTGCACCTTGGTACTGACTGGGGGCTGCTCAAGGCCCAGCCCGTGGGGCTTTCCCCAGCAGCAGGGAGCAGGGCAATGAATGCGGCCCCTTCTCCCCAGCTAAGGGATTCGTGAGCCTGCCTGGCTGGATCGGGCCAGGCCTGGTCAGGTAGGATGAGGGAGGGAGGAAGTCAGCGGGGCCCAAATCCAGCCCACAGGGCTCTCCGCAGGTCAGGGCCACGGTGGCAGGGAGCCGGGGTGATGGATGCGGCCATCTCTCCGGCACAACCAGGCGGAGGCTAGGCCATGCACAGCTGGATTGGGGCCTGGCCTGGTCAGGTATGGGGATGGGAGAGGAGGAGGTCTGTGGGACCTGAATCCAGCCCACGGGGCTGTCCACCAGTCAGCACTGTGGTGGCGGGGAGCAGGGGCAATTAGTGGCCACATCTCTGTTGGTGCTGAATTTCCAAGCCCTGCATAGTGGGGTCAAGGCCAGGCTGTGCCTCTCCTGCATGGCTGGAGCAGGACCAGGTCTGGTCAGATATGATGGGGAAGGGAGGTCCATGGGGCTCAATCCAGCCCCACACCTGTGGGCCAGATGGGCAGGGGCATCTCACTTTACTCGGTGTCTTTTTCAATGCGTACATTTCATGTGGCATATTTGTTTGTAAACTACCTAAATAGGTCTTATTTTTTAAATTTAGGGAACAGCTTGCATGTACTTTAAGCGTTTTTACCTCAATAATTCAGTGATGGAGTATCACCCTCGAATAATAATGTAAGTAGTCAGCACATTTTGAATCTTATTCTTAGTTTTTATCAGTGCTGCCATATCCAGTAACTTGCAAAGCCTCAGAGTCTTTGAGAATAGAAGGGTCCCAAATCTTTATATTATTCAAATACAACTGTTGAAGAGTTCTTACTGTATTCCGAGTGGAAATTGTTTATTGTATTGAGAATGCTATCATTTCAAAATAGGGAACACGGGTTTTGTGAACAGGAACTTTATGAAGACAGATGCCCCAAAACTAAATTTTATTTATGATGCTTCTTTTTCAAGGTTAACATGTGCATTCTTGGCATGTAAAGTAGATGAATTCAATGTGTCTAGTGCACAGTTTGTTGGTAACCTGCGGGAGAGCCCTATAGGGCAAGAGAAGGCGCTTGAACAAATCTTGGAATACGAACTACTACTCATTCAGCAGCTGAACTTCCATCTTATAGTACACAACCCGTACAGACCATTTGAGGGGTTTTTAATTGATTTGAAGGTAATTCTTTAATTTCTGCTTATGTAGAAAAATTTGTTGTTACATAAATGTATGGGTATGTTTTAGAATAAGAGGTTTGCTGAACTTTTTAGAATGTCACTTAATACTTACAAAATTTTGAAACATTATTTCACAGGGCCCTGGTCTAGGAGTGGGTCACTCTTCTAGTGAGGCTGTTTAACTGCTAACAGTTTCAAGGAAAGAAAACTGGTCACATGCGTGACCTCTGAATCAAAAGAATGCAGTTTGCTTAATTTTTTTAATACTGTATTTTCTCATGTACCGCATGCCCTCAGATAAGACATGTACCTTGTTTTGGAAAGGTAGAATGAAGAGAGAGAGATTTTTCTCACATTATGACTTCATGGAGCAGGGTTAAAGCCTAAACTTCAGTTAGTTCACCTTCCCTTTCCTGCTTGGGAAAAGTTGCAATTATAACCTTTTTGCAGCTGAATTGCCAGCAGCTCTCAGCTGCTTAGCCAAAATGGCCAGAATGGACTCCGTGGATGGATCTAGGATTTTGAAAGGAGTTAAAAACAGTCTGTAGGGATGTGAAGTAAGAGGAGAGACCAGGAGTCTGACAGCAAAGTTGCTGAAGAGAGAATATCTTGATCAGTAGAACATCAAGACTATTAAAAAAAGAGAAGGGTTGTTAACATATGTGGAGTGAAGAGCCTTAGTAAGAATTAGGTAATTAATGAGTCAGTTGACTTCAGGGCTTCCTGAATAGACGTGCTGTCAGGCAGTTGGTTTTCCTGAATAGACTGTTGCTGTCAGGCGGTTGGTTTTAAACTTTAGGTGAAGCAGGAACGAAGTGGGGTGTGACTGCACTGAATACTCCTCTCCTCGCCCTTCTTCTCCCACTCACCTCGCATCTGCCCCTGTTAGTCTCCACAGTGTTTCTGTGCTTCTGTTCTGGGTAGAAAATCAGCTTCCCTGCTTATGGTATGCACCCCCGTTTTTGGAAGGCTGATTATTAGGAAGAAAGTGCATGTGGTATGAGTGTAAATGTGGTAAGTTAGAGTATGCCAGATTGGAGAGAGGAGCTTTGCATGATGATCTGGAAAGATCCTGATTTTTCTCTGTTTAAAAATTGCAAATTCTTTGATTTAAAAAAAAAAAAAAAAAATCCCAAATTTTCTGATTTAAAAACTTCAAAATCTGCATTTTTCCAGGGCGAAAATGAAACACCACTAATATATATGTATTAAATAAAACCAGTTGAACACAATGTTTTATTGATATCTTCACAACTTTAAAGCAACTTAGAAGCCTACCAGAGCCTCAAGCATTATAATAAAATTTGTTCTGAATGCCTATATATTTTGTTTTTTTATTGTAGAAAATCAGAGCTCCTCCTGCCTCCCTTTGCTCACCAGGATGCAAATCCAGCTGCTTTGTAGCACTTAGCAGCTCTGATATGCAAGTGCCCTCACCCTGACCCTCACTCCCAAGGCAGCTGCTTCCTGTAGCTGGTCTGGCCTGGCTGCAGCCCCATGCCACACTGTGGGCACAGAAATGTTGGGGGACGTGCTTTTCCCCCTACCGTGTCTCCTGTGCCCTTTCTTGTCTGCCCCCACCCCATGGATTTACTAGGAGGGAGCTGCTCTTCACCACCCTGCCTGGCTGCCATATGCATGCTATCCTGCTCCCAGCTTGCAAGGGAAAAAGCTATAGTTTCCTGCATTTTTGTCCTTTAAAGGAGAAATCTGTGATTTTTCTACTTTGAAAGAAAAGATCTGTGTTTCTGTCTGTCGCAGGAAATTTCCATTTTTCCACAGCAAATGGAAAACCTGGATCCCTGATGATCTGTCAACAAGGAGAAAGCCTAAAGTGTTAAATGCCAGTGTGTTTTGTTTTTTTTTAATCAATAAATGAAAAAAAATCACAGGGTTTTAGATATGGTCACTAAGTATTTTAGGAGAGCTTTTTAAGAAAAATTGTATGATCTTTCAGCCTTCCCCCTCCCCCCCCAAATATATATTTTTTTAAAATTACGTGTTGCTTAATTTTATATTAGAAGATTAAGAACAGTTTTTCACTTCGAAGGATCATATAACAATACTAAAAGCAGAAGTAATGACTGAATGTTTGTTTTCCAGACTCGTTATCCAGTGTTAGAAAACCCAGAAGTTTTGAGGAAAACAGCTGATGACTTTCTCAATCGAGTAGCTTTGACAGATGCCTACCTCCTGTTTACCCCTTCACAGATAGCTCTCACTGCCATATTATCCAGTGCCTCCAGGGCAGGAATTAATATGGAAAGGTAGAATTTTATTTTTTTAAAGCAAGGATGGTTTTAAAAGACTAATTTGTTCCTTGGATTAACTTTTGTTCCAGGTGTTAGAACCCTTTATGTAGGTGGGTAAGTATGGATTTATTGCACAGTTAACAGATAAAGACTCTGAAAGGAGGCACTTGACCAGCTGCATTTCAGTATTGTGAAGTATCATTACTGTATTTTTCCTTTGCTGCTGGAAACAAGATGTTGGACTATATGGGTAATTGGTGTCTGGCTTTTGTATTCCTCTGAGGCTTCTGCTTCTTCCAACCTGATTTCATATTCCCCATTTAAAACACTAAAGACTTTCAATTCAATCCTGCAGGGTTCTGCACGTCCTTTCTTTCCAGTGCTTTTAATGGGAACTGAAGGTACAGAGCACCTCAAGAAGCACTTTAATAGCTTTATTGATTCTGAAATCTTAAGTACTCTTTAGAAAATGGCACTTCTCTTAGCTGGCAGAAGCAGCTAAAACTTGCAAAATCTCCAACCAGCGCATCTGGCTATTATTTCAGCTTCCATTTCCATGGAAATGGACTAGTGAAAACTGGCTAAGTGCTTTAAAATCATCTTTAAAGTACTGGCATTGTTTGGCTGATCAATTTCCCACTTGACACTGGGAGTATAGTTGGTAGAACTCTTCCTTCCAGACTTTCCCCGTCAACTGAGAGTTGCAAGGGCTCTCTCTAGTTATTACTTTAAAAACTTGGATCCAAGACAAGTTTTAATGCTTTAGGGGGATAAATTTTAATTGTAGAAATATTTAAAACAAATTAAGAACATGAGTGCCATGCTGGGTCAGATCAGTGGTCATCTAGCCCAGGAAACTGTTTTTATCGCCCTTTTTCCGCTAGCTTATTTCCTTGGTAGGAGGGCTGTACTAGAGACGCATCTTACCTCTATTGTAGCACGAACAGCGTCACCACCTTGCCTGCCTGTCTCCCCCTTCCTATTATTTTCTTGTCTTCAATGGTGACAAACAGTAGATCCTTTAGAGAGACAGCATATTTACAGGGCGTGTCTGATATAATCCACCTGCTGTCGTGCCGTCCCTGGCTTCAACCACTGTTGGTTTAGGGATGTCAGATGTTTTTGACTGTCTTTAAAGTGGGAACTTTAAAAGCATGTATGTATGTATGCATAGTATGTATTTATTTTCAGAAATACATAACCAGTTTGGTTACTCTGGATACTTCCTGTGTGACAACCTTGTTTCAGTTTTATGCCTCAATGCCTTTTAACCTTGTCTTATGAATTTAGATTGCGTTATATTAATGGTTGCAGACAGGCATCGCTGTAACTAAAAATTGATATGCGTTTTGCTAGGACCCTGTTTTTAATCCTTCATAACTTGAGAAATAGTGCTCTTGCTATTTTTTCACTCTTTGGATGACCAGAGTGAATTTCTGAAGTTAGCTGAAATGAGCAGTTTAAAAGTGACTGAAAAAAAAAAATAGCCTGGCTGTGGGATATGCATTTGTTCCACCTAGCCCAGCAATTGAAAAAAATGCTTACACTTGAAACGTCTTGATGCGTATCTGAATGTTTAATTTGTGCTTCTTCAAGCTTTAGAGGGTCATGCTTTTAAGGTAAGACCTAGGAGAGTGTTAATATGTGGAATGTATATCCAGAAAGGTTTGGGTTTTTTTTAAACTCTGAACCTTATCTTTGCTGTATGCATAGGCCAGACTGGGTCTACCCTAAGCAGATCTAACTATTTTTTTTTTTAAATGTGCTTTATGAAGTCATAAATTTGAGAGGTTTTTCTTTTTCTCTTATCCATGGCTTATAGTAATACTAACAGGGCTGGAAGGTCCTAAATTGTTTGCACTCTTTCACTGTCTGACCTTGATTCCCTGTTGTAGGATAACATATTTTACCCTTTTGAGAGAGTGGCTAATATAAAGATATGCTTAAAAAGTTTTTTTTGTTTGTTTGTTTGTTTGTTTTTTTTTTTAGGTAGGAATTGAAATGCATGGCAGAGGTGATATGTTTTATTAGACTAACTAAATAGTTGCAAAAAAATGTCTTTATGTGTAAGCTGTTGGGCGTACACACCCTTCTTCAGGCATAAGAGAATGCAAAGATTGTAAAATTTCTCCTAGGTGGAAATGAAAATTCAAATTTCACAGGAGAGCTGAAGGTGTTGTAAGATCTTCTGGTTGGAAAAGTTCATTTTGTGTAAACTAGACAAAGCTAGAACAGTTTATTTACCTCAAAATTGTGCCCAAAAGCTTGTAAATAAAGAATTTATTTTGTAAATATCTGGTTAGTCTATTAAAAGATATCACCTCTGCCAAGAGTTCTGATTCCTTTTGCCTGTAGACCAATATGACTATAACATGTATCGCTGTTTTAGTTAGGACACCTGCAGAGCAGGCTAGTAATATTTCACCCTCCATCTACACTGACCTGTCCAAGTGTAGTATTATGAGAGATTTATTTTAGGCTAAAAACTAGCGCAACTTTGGAAGCATACTGCCTTTTGGGTTGAGTGTTAATTTAATAAAGCAAAACTTATTTAAGTTCACTTTATTGTCCGAGCCCCCAGGGCCTGGAATAGACTGTTGCCAGAGGTGGTTTAAGCACCTACTTTGAATGCCTTCAAGAAACATTTGTATGTTGATCTTGCTGGGATCCTATGACTCTTTCCGACTTCCTACCCCTGGGGCAGGCGGCTGGATTCGTTGATCTTCCGAGGTCCCTTCCAGCCCTAATATCTGTGAAATCTATGAAAATAGCTTTGCTTGTGAGTTATGTTTTTTTTATGGTTATGATCTACATGTGTTGTAGCTCATCAGTAGAAGGGTTAAGGGAAAGAAAGAATTACAGATACAGATAACTGGTAATGCATGGTGTTCAAGTACAGCTTAGTAGAAGTCTGAACCATGCTTTTATTTGTGTGTGGTCAGGAATTTTTGTCTCTGAAGCAGTGCTTTGTTGGAAGCTTGAACAAGAGGAAACTGCTGGAGCCGAAAAGTGTTCCCAACTCAAAGGTTACCACTCTGAACCAAGATTATGTTGTGGTTCATGCGTTTAATGTTTTGTACTTTGTTATAAATAAATGCATGAAGTGAGAATTTAAAAGTAGCATGTACTAAGTACCCTTTGTCACTCATACCCTGTGATTTGCAAGGATTAGAAAAAGCATACAAGAGCAAATAATCAGATTCTGATAGCTTTAGAATGGTAAATGCATATTCCTAGCCATGACTAGCAGTTTGATTAAAACAATTAGATCTTCTTCATGGTGTTCAGAGTTAGCTCTTATTCAGGTAACTGAAGTATTTGTTCAGTTGTGTTAACCATAATAAGTTTAAAACATTGTCACTCGCTTGGCAACTTTAGACTTATGTTTTCATGCTTTTTTTAGTTATTTATCAGAAAATCTTATGCTGAAAGAAAACAGATCTTCTCTATCCAAGCTACTAGATGGAATGAAATGTAAGTAAACACTGTCCTGAGAGCATGCTCTCGCCTTCTTCTCCCCTCACCCTGACCATGACCCGTTCCCTCCAGCCCAAGCTGTGTAACTGAAGTAGGGATTTTGCGGAAGACAGACTTCTGTTACATGCAAACATGTAGCACCGTGTTGGAAAAACACAGTGTGCTGTTATCCTTCATTTTAAAAATGATTACAGGAAGAACAGAGAACCTGGAAAACTAATTAATACCTGAAAAATATAAATATATAAATATAGCTAACACAACACAAGGTTAAAAGTAAAATAACCTAAAGAGACTCAGTGTATCATACTGCTGATTGAACACAGCCCTTAAAAGTGAGAGCACTGTTTTTTGGTACCAGAGAATGCTGCTGTAATTTTACAGTGTTGGGTGAAATGTATATATTCCCTCTCCTCCCCTAATTTTTCCTCATTTAAAAAGTAGTAACACTATTTCCTACCACTTTCCAATTTGGGGTCGAGTTTTAGAAGCCTGCAGATCATTCCTTATGCCACTAGAGGGTACATTTTCTAAGCTAAATGACTTGTTAGCTGCAAAGATTTTTTGGTTTACATTAAAGCTACTCTTGGATTATTTTTCCCTACTTTGTGATTTCTAAATGGCTTAAAAGGGGCTCTAAGTTTGGTTTATTTCTCTTAATCTCTTCTTGCTGTTTATGAAGTAATGTTAACACCTCTGCTATTTGAAAACTTGCTCAGTGTGTGTGTTCATACAGGAAAACCTCATTATTTTGAAATGCAGGGGACCAAAAAAAATACGGACTTTGAAATCAATGTAACCATAGTGATTTTACATGTATCCAAATTACCTATGGGTACATACCGACGTAGTTCACTCATGTGCTGATTTTACTAACTGGTAAAAACAAAATGAGTTATTTCAGTGATGCTAATTAAGTAAATTTCATGGTACTGTATGTAGCACGAGTTGTTCCACACAACAGCAGCAATGATCTAAGGGGCTTTTTCCCTCCAATTAGGTCAATCTAAGTGGTGAACTGACATGTCATCCCTGATCATGCCAAACTGCTATCAGTCGGGATTGGTGGTAGTTTTGTGGGATCGGGGGAGGTGGGTCCTTGGAGGGATTTAGTGAGATTTGCAGGGGGTAGAGGGGGTTGGTGGGACAGATTGCCACTTAGATTGACCTAATCAGAGGAGAAATGGGCCCCTAGATTGTTGCTATGTTTCAAGATTAGGAACTCCTTGTGCTACATACAGGACCATGACATCTGCTTAATTTAGTCATTGGGATAACTTCTCACTTACAAACTTTACTGACTGGTAAGAACTAAGTGGATGAACTAGGGCTGTCAAAGTCCATATTTTTTTTTGGTCTGCTGAGTTTCAAATTCACATGTTTTTCCTGATCCAAGGGACCAGACAACGGCTTCGAATTTCAAATAGCTGCATATCAAATTATCCATATTGTAATGCTTACAAAAACCTATCTTTTCGTTTGGGGAGTGACAACAGCTTTGAAATATCCAATACTTTGAACTGTCTGCTATTGAACTAGCTAGGTTTTCCTGTATTGTTAGCTGTCAGGCCTTAATAAAAGGAACAGGGTATGAAAATCTAAGGATTTAGTTCTCCAAAATGTTTTATTATTAAAATTAGAGTATTAAACAGATTAATAGTGAATCAAATCTTTCAGTTATTGTATTTCTAGTGTCTTGCCTCTTGTAATTATTTCAGTGGTTTATTTTTTTTTCCAGTTACTAGCATCTTCTAGGCCAAATTTTTACATTTCTGATTTAAAAGTAAGGTGACTCATTTGTCATTCCCCTGCTCTTAAAAATAGAATTATTCAAGCTGCCATTGTACTGTAAAGAAATAAAAGCAAAAACTGCTTATTTCTTTGCAAGTTGAATGTTTCCCCAAATGTTATGCTGTCCATCATAATTTCTATGGAGAAACTTCCCTTAAGCTAGGATACTTGAAAATATCAAAAACAGACTTTATAATGGTATAGAAAATTGGTAGTGGTTGTCTGGTTTTCCTTTTATGCTTACTGCAAATTTTGACAAAATCAGTTTTATTTTAAAAAGATTGAGACTTGATCTCTGTTCGTAAGATGTGCTGCATAGTGCTGATAGCAAAACATATCAGCATATCCTGATGCTCACTAGTACAGTAATGCTAACTCTGCATTATCACGTAGCCTTGAGAAAATCCAGAATCGTGATGCTAACAACTAGTTTAAGTTTAGTTCTTTGCTGTAAGCTTACCCTATATTTTGACACTACTTAAAATAAATCCTCTGATGTAAGATGACAGTTTAGACTCTTACACATGTAATCTTGAGTTCTCTAAAGAATGTTATGTGGCAAATTTTCTAAGCTGAGATTTTGTTTATGAATCCATTAAAAGAAAAAAGTACTTTTCAAGTATCCTAATACTTGCTAGACAAATGCAAGGATTTAATCTAATTAAAATGTCTTCAGCACATTGCAGTGTAGCTATAGCAGTGATATCAAAGTTAGTTTTTTTTAAAATGGATACTTCTGTTTGTTTTTTTTCTTTTTAAGGTAAGTAATAACTGCCATTTTGGATTCTTCAGAAACTTCTGGTTTGGCTAGATTTCTCAGAGAAACTGATTGATATATTGAGCATAGTACAGAGTACCTGGTCTTCTAGACTGAGCTCAAGGGTGACAGGCTAGTACTCTTGAGGTTCTAAACTACCACAGGCTCCCTGGGAATAAGCTGATATAGTTCATGGGGAAAGTGCTGTGAGAATTCAGTAGCTAATTGTTGCTAAATTAATTATTTGAAAATGTTTGATATTACTATTACAGGCATGAAAAATCTCATAAAGAAATATGAGCCACCTAAGCCTGAAGATGTTGCTGCTCTAAAACAGAAGTTAGAGAAATGCCACAGTTCAGAACTTTATGCAAACTCGTAAGTAGAACCATAGACAACTAGGGCTGGAAGGGGTCTCACAAGGTCATCCAGTTGAACCCCCTGCTCAGAGCAGCACCACCCCCAGCTAGATCATCCCAACCAAGGTTTTATCTAGCCAGGTCTTAAAAACCTTCAGGGATGGAAATTCCACAACCTGTCTAGGTAACCTGTTCCAGTGCTTTATTGCCCACCTAGGAAGAAAGTTTTTCCTCGTATCTAACCTCAACTTCCTTTACTGCAACTTAACAGCATTCCTCCTTGTTCTATCATCTGCCACCACTGAGAACAGTCTTAGCTTAGTGGATTTCAACCTGTGGTTTGCAGACCTCTGGGAGTCTGCAAACTATGTCTAAGGGGTGTGAAAAACATTACTATGATCAACCAAAGTACATGACTACCCATGCTTACAATTCAGAGGGCTCTGTACCTCCCGTCAAACTTCTTAGGGGTTTGCAAATGAAAAAAGGTTGAAGACCACTGTTCTAGCTCCATCCTCTTTGTTAACCAACATTCAGATAGGTGAAGGCTGCTGTTTAAATTCCTTCTTGGTCTTCTCTTCTCTAGACTAAATAAGCCCAGTTCCCTGAGCCTTTCTTCACGTCATGTGCCCCAGCCCCATAACTGTTTTAATTGCCATCCAACTCTCTCCAATTTTTCCACATCCTTTCTGTAGTGGGGGATGTGGCCTCATCAGTACTAAATAGAGGAGAAGAATCACTTTCCTCAGTCTGCTGGCAACGCTCTTACTAATGCAGCCCAGTATGCCATTAGCCTTATTCGCAGCAAGGGCACATGGTTGCCCCATATTCAGCTTATTGTCCACTGCAACCCCAAGGTACATTTCTGCAGAGCTGCTGCTTAGCCACTCAGTCTTCAGCCTGTACTGGTACGTTGGATTTGTTCCATCCTAAGTGCAGGACTTTACACCTTTCCTTATTGAAACTCTTAAGATTTCTTTTGTTCCAATACTTCAATTTGTCTAGGTCTCTCCAAATCCGAGACCTACCCTCCAATGTATCTACTGCTTCTCCCAGCTTGGTGTCATTTGCGGACTTGCGAGGGGGCACTTTGTCCCCTCTTCTAGGTTGTTGATGAAGGTATTAAACAAAACTGGCCTTGGGATCATCCCCTAAGGCAATAGGTGATGCATAAGTGCTGCTATTTGGGGTTACAACTCCATGCTGCTGCTCCCGCTGCTGCTGGATGTTGGGTTTAGCTAGGGTGCTGCCCCGTCCTCTTATTGATGCCGCCACCACCACCAACCCCACTAGCTCCAACCAGGCTGTAGCCCCATGCCATGTGCACCATTTTCAGCACATAAATCTGTGGGGATATGTGCCCCACATGCCTCCCTGATGTGTCACCAGTGACTGAGGTACTCTGCTTGATACCGGTTGCCAACTACCTGTTGATCATTGATCACTGCCTGTTAAGCCCGAAGATGGAGCCAGCTTTCTATCCACCTTATAATCCATGCATCCAACCCATACTTCCTTAGCTTGCTTGTGAGAATGTTGTTGGAGATTGTATCAAATGCCTTGCTAAAGTCAAGGTATATCACATCCACTGCTCTCCCCCATCCACAGAGCCAGTCAACTCATAGAATGCAATCAGGTTGGTCAGGCATGACTTGCCTTTGATGAATTTATGCTCACTGTCTTCTGCAAGTGCTTAGATGAGAACCTACTCTGATTTCTTCAAGGACTGAGTTGACACTGAGTGGTCTGTAGTTATGCAGGTCCTCCTCCTTCCGTTTCTTAAAGATGGGCACTATATTTGCTCTTTTCAGGTCACCTGGAACATCCTCCAATCGCCACAAGTTTTCAAAGATAATGGCCAGCGGATCTGCAGTCACACTGGCCAACTCCCTCAGCACCCCTGAGTACATCACATATAGGCTTGTATGGCTCTAGCTCTTCTAAATAGTCCCTAACCTGTTCTTTTGCCCCTGTCAGATACTCACCTCCTCCCAAAACTGTGCTGCTGGGTACAGTAGTTTGGGAGCTGACCTTGTTTGTGACAGCCAAGTTAAAGGCATTGCATACTTCAGCCTTTTCCACATCATATGTCACTAAGTTGCCTCCCCCATTCAGTAAGGGACACACTTTCCCTGATCTTCCTCTTGTTGCTGACATACTTGTAGAAACCCTTCTTGTTAGCCTTCATGTTCTTTGCTAGCTGCAACTCCAGTTGCACTTTGGCCTTTCTGATATTCATTTCTGCATGCCTGAGCAATACATATGTTCCTCCCTAATCATTTGTCCACTTCTTGAAGGCTTCCTTGTATCTTATCTCACTGAAGAGTTTTCTGCTAAGCCAAGTTAGTTTTCTGCCATACTTGCTAGTCTTCCTGTGCATCAGGGTGATTCGTTTCTGTGTCAGTAAGGTTTCTTTAAAGGTTTCTGTAAAGCCAGCTTTCCTGGACTCCTTTCCCCTTCAGACTGGCTTCCCAGAGGACCCTGCCCATCAGTTCCCTGAGTGAGTCAAAGTACGCTTTTTTGTTTGTTTGTTTTTTTGTTTTGTTTTTTCTTAAGTCCAGGGTCCTTACCCTGCTGCTCTCCTTCCTTTCCTCAGGAATCCAAACTCAATCATCTCATGGTCGCTGCTGCCCAAGTTGCCATCCACTTCTACATTACCCACCAATTCTTCCATGTTTGTGATCAGCAAGTCAGGAAGAGCATGGCCCCTAGTTGGCCTCTCCAACATTTCCACCAGGATACTTTCAGCATTAAGAGAGGATTTTTTGTCTTTAAATTACTATTTTAAAATGTTAATCCTTACTTGCTTAATTAACTGAAAATTAAAGCTAATCTTACTTCATAGTTTAGGTAATTTTCAGTCTAAGTACATTTAACCTCTTCTGTGAAGAACTGGGTGAGAAAGCTAGTAAATATTTTCTGCTGCTTTTTGTAAGCCTAATGCTTCTGGATGGTGCTTACCAGTTCTGTTAAACTATCATTTGCGCTAACTTGCACCACAACATTTAAAAATATTAGTTTAATGGTGGTGAAGCACAGTTGGGCCATCAGGGTTTTCTCTTCAGTGCGGCCACTGAGACATATCTATACAACATAAAATAGTGCTGTGTAGAGATACCAGAGATAGCTTTGATATCCCAGCTTGAGCATCAACTAACAGTGTAGTTTCTCAGCTAGGCTAATATGGCAATACTTTTCCTAGTAAGGACGCAGATATGATCATAATTAGCTCTTGTATATGAATGGCACTGTATTGTGCCATATAGATATACCTGACTTTATATAGCATCTCATGCAAGTTATTTGAGTATATCAGTTAAAAAGTCTGTAAATTAGATATTAATATTTACCTTTCTAACGGATGTAGCAAGAATCTGTTTATGAAGGGCTTCAAGATCACTTGATTAAAGGTTGTATAAAGTATTATATACTAATTTTTCTTGAAGTGTTTTTTTTTTTTTTTGTTGTACCTTAGTGCTGTTTCATGTAGAAGGTAATACTTTGCCTTGCTACCCTGAAGCAAAGTGAAAGCAAACTCAATACTAGTGAAACTACCTACATTCCTCACTAAAAGGAAAACATGTAATAGAAATCCAACTTCATGTCAAATGAAAGGATGGTAGTTGCGCAGATGTTGCTTTGAAATGACTGAACATCACATGTATAGTTCATTCTTTGTTGTGTAGAAAGAAGAGGAAAGGTTATGAGGATGATGAATGTATTACGAAAAAACCAAAAATGGATGAGGTTAGTATTTGCTTGGGGGTTTGTTTTGTACACAGATGTTACATTTTCTGGTTCACAAATAGCTAACAAGAATGTTGAAAAGTAATACTTTCTCTCCACTGTTACTGTAATAAATGTTCACACTGCATATATGCAGGAGCCTTTATTCCAAGTAAACATCCCAATTGAAATTACAGTTTCAAACTTTAATTTTTTAGAGGCTTGCTATCTGGAGTAAGAGTAGATATGCCTTCTAACTAACTTTCTATCCATTCCCGCTTCTTTCTATCTTTCACTGTTTTCCTGTTTACAAGATAAATATATTAACTTTTGCCCTTATTAGTCCAAGTGGAAGAAGCAAATATACACTGGATGAGGAAGCAGAACAATGGCATCTAATTTATGTAACAGACTTGAAAAATGACCTTTCTGGGACAGAAAATTACTGAACTATTAGCTCAAGATCTTTTTAAAGTGCTCAATATTAGACTCATGGTACTGTATGTAACACGAGAAGTTCCACACAACAGCAGCAATGATCTGGGGGCCCTGTCCCCTCTGATTACATCACTCTTAAGTGCTGAACTGACCCCAGTCAGGATTGGTGGTGGTTTTGTGGGATCAATTTAGGTCAGTGTAAGTGCCCAATATTAGACTCCTTATTCTTTTACACGTTAAGTGGTGAGATTACATGTTAACATTAGCAGGTGCTAATTGTAAGGAATGTTAGTGTGTATTTAATGTTGATCACTATTAGCACTAGTTAGTCTCATGTTTGGAGTTAATATCATCTCTAATGTGCACTGCTCAGACCTGCTGCTAGAGGGCTGGTGACTAGGGGTGCCTCTAAGGGGACTGCATGTCTGCTCCGTGCCTGCCCTATATGATGCTTGGCTTGCCCCCTTCAGACCCCAGACTGTCCCACGTTTATCTGGATCCAGTCCTCACCAGGCCCTGCAGCTGTCTGGCAGCTCCTTGTCCCTTCCCCCCTCCCTTCCTCTCCCTGACCTCTTCTCCTGTCTCCCCTTTATTTGCAGGGCTTGGTAGGGGCTGGCTCTGGGCATGCAGAGGTATGAGTTCTCCTCCAAGCAGATGTGGTGGTATCTGAGGGCATGGCTGTAGATAAAAAAGCTCTTATCTGCTTGAGATGATTGCTGGTCTTGTAGACCTTGATATAATGGTCTGTGGGTTTGTGGTCTGTTACCAGCCTCTTAAACCATAGATAAGCTTCAGTTTTAAAAAATAGTATGAATGTACCCTAGAAGGCCAACCAACATTTTAGGTACAGGGAGAATCTTTTTTTGAACAACTTTATACTTATGCCCCTCTACTCCAGGGGTGGGCAAAATACAGCCTGAGAGTTGGATCTGGCTTGCAGGTGGGTGCCTGTGATTTGATTACATCTGACCCACAGCTGCCCCTGTAGTGCTTGGCCTGGGGCAGCTCACACTACGCTCCCATGTACACCTGCCCCACCTACCAGACAGCACCAGTCAGCATGTGCAGCATTCTGGTGGGGCTGCTGCCTCAGCAGCCTAGGTATTGCTCAGCTCCCCCTCACCTCCAGCAGCTCCTCCTCCTGCCCCAGCTCTGCTGCTCTGGTCAGCAGGTAAGGTAGAGATGCATTCTGGGCAGCAGGTGCCCAGCCAGGCAGGAGGAAAGCTGCAGCCTGGAGGCTCCTGTCCCAGCACACACGACTCCAGATCCAGCTGCCAGCCACCTTGCATCCACTCTGCCTGCCTGCAAGTGCCTACACACACCCTGTCCTCCCCCCTCCTCCCCCACCCACACTCTCCCACCCACAATATACAAGAGTAAGACTTTATTTTGAGCTATTATGCAATCACCTCTATATATGCTAGTCAAAAGCCCCCCATAAATCAGGAAAAAATATTTTTTGAAATAAAAATGTTATACTAAAAATCAAAATCTAATATATGATTTGTTTAGCTATAATTTGTTAAAATGAAATCTGACAGATTTTGTGTGTGGGGGCCCTTGACAGCTTGCCAAAACTCATTAAGTGGCCCTCCAGCTGAAATAATTTTCTACCCCTGATCTACTCCATGAGTGTGAAGTCAGATTATTTTGGCCAGCAGGGTTTTCTGGGGCTACACCTGTACCCGGCATATCCTCCTGCTGGATATAAAAGGCAAAGTGGGCTCAGTTAATTTTTACAACCTACATGCACAAAGCGATCTCTTCAGTGTCTTTGAAGATGCTCTAAATCTTTTATGTAAATAGTAGATGTGTACTGTGTATACTCATTCAGGTAACAGTTTTTATCTAAAATCAATTTTTATTGGTAGGGAGTTTCCAAATTGTTTCAGTAGTTATTAAGCATGGCTCTGCACTTCAGAGATTAACACACTAACTGATGACCCTTCGAGTTTACAACAGTAAAGTGACAAGGGAGAAAGATTTGAGTGTATTGCCTAATTAATAATTTTGATGTAGTTAACTTAAATATTTTCATGACAGGAAGTGACCATTGCTTTAGCATTTATAGGTAGAATTGAAAGGTCAGATGGTAGCAATCCAAAGGCTACCAAAAATGTGCATGACATACTATATAGTACTTGTGGTTTATGGGTAGGTTCTGATCTGTGCTCTTAGCACTTCAGTATAGCAGTGTGTAGATTCTACTTTCTCAGAACTCATTCCTGTATAACTATAGTCTACACCAGTGGGGATCAATGCGTTTTGGCAGGTGTACCACAAATAAGCCCTGCTCCATCCCCAAGTATCACTCCGATCCCCTTCCCTGCTTCTTGCCCTATCTGCTGGCTGTCCTTTTCCTGATCTGCTGTGTAGTACACACACACACAGACCACCTGTTCTACAGGATGGTCACCCCTAGTCTACACAGTATAGTTCCAGTACAATAGTAGAATTCCACTTAGTGACAAGATTGAGTTGTATACATTTCTGAAGCTGTCAGCATAGCTGTGAATTTACTTCTAGCTTCTTAAATTATGTTAAAGAAAAATGGTAAGTAAATTGTTTTTGTTAAATACAGGTTGTTTCCACATAGCATTTTTGTAACAGTATGTGCTTGCAAGTTGAGCTATTTACTTTTACTGGTAGGAAGGACCATGAATTACATATGCATCCAGAGATGCAATATATAACCTGTGCTGCACTGCTGAGATTTTTTGTTGTTTACAACAAAGCATACATAACTAACTCAGCTTGAATTACCCCCCTCTCCTCTCTTTCATTTTAGGAAGAATGGACTGATGATGATCTTGTGGATACTCTGTAATGACACTGAACACCCCTAGAAGAATTTCAAGAATTCATTGTCATCTACTCCAAGTGAAGTCTTATTTGTAAAGACTTTCACTATCAGCCAATACTATCTTGCACTTTTCCTATTTATAGTGAAATTTAAATGTGTTTAAGTACTTTGTAATAATAAAAGGATTACTTTTTTTTAAATTTAAAATATTACTAAATTGCCTGACTGTTGTTTTCCTTTCAGATCGAAGTATGAATAAAACCACGTTCTTTATTCCTAGGGGATAACTGTATAGATTCTCTCAGTCAGAAGTATCTAACTCTGTAGTTAGATGTCCTGTGATGCTTGCCTATATACTATTCCAATGAGATGCAGATTTGGACTTGCCTGAAAATGTTGTCTTTGGCAGTCATTATGGACATGATAGCAAGCTCTTTCAGAAGACCCTTATCAGCAGATGTCTTGTTCATATGTCTATCTCTAGGTTTAAACTATACACAGCATGGGTGACAAATACCTCCTGAGATGGGCGGGGGAGCATAATATGTGGGCGGTGATGTCAGGGCAAGCAGTGACTGCCTACAGGAGCGGTTGGCCAATCTCGGGGGGGGAGGGGCGGACTTGTCCCCCTCCCCCATCAGTTGCCTATGATGCACAGCATTCTATACTGATCTAGCTTTTAAATCTTTACCCATCAACTGTTTTTAAAAGGTTTACAAGTTAAGACTTTCTACTGTTGGAGAAGTACTTCTATCAACTGTAAATGTTACAAAGAGAACTTCTATACTTTTTAAGCAGGGGGAAGACCTATATGCATCTTTGGTAGCCTTCTGATGGTTGAGGAAGGGCTACCATTCTTTGTCCATCAGGTGCAAGTACAAAGAGGCCAGAAACTTTGAGCTTCGAGGTCAGGGAGCCAAGTACCTGGGGGCAGGCAAGGACTGCCTTTCAGGCCTCCCCGCTTAAAAAACTGAAAATTACTTTTAATTTCATTTCAGAGGTACTAAGGTAACAGTTTGCAGATGGATCTGATTGTCTTGTCTGAAATCAAGTAGGTTTTGACATGGTATTTAGTTTGTTCCAGCTAGCAGCAGCAGCAGTGTAAAATCCAGTATATGCAATCACTTAAACTTCATCTTTTAAGAATATCAGTCCACATAACCCCCAGGCATACTTTTTTTAGGCTTTAGCTTACTTATTCTGCAAGTTTTTACCACGTACAGTAAAGTTTTGCATCAGAAAAGGTGTAGAGTGCTAATAGTAGACTATAGGCTCACTAAAGAGTATCTCTATTGAGTGGGCCTTGAAGTTCCACATTATCCTCATAAAAAATATAGCATAAGCTGTTGATTAGTCACAGTAAAGTCTGCTATTAGAACAATGCTTTGCTTAAGTGGCCTGAAATGATTCAAAAGCAATGTTTCAAAAAATCTCCTTTACTATTCCACTACTCCCCCAGTGCCCTTATGGAAGCTTTAAAACAGCAAATAATTTCTTGAAGGAGACTTTCAGGCTAATCTTAAATTAGGTACACTGGGCAGCTCTTGATAGAATCAGTTAAGATGGTTGTCTTGTTAGAGCAAACTTCAATTTCTCTGATGGCAAACAAACTATGTGGGGTAGTAGTTGCTTTGGGTGGCAGACCTTCCATTTCTTAACTGTTAAGCACAGCAGGTACCTGTCAACTCCCCAGGATTCCTGTGACTCAGCCGGCTGGTATGATAAAATGTTGGTAAAACAGTTTTGGAATATTCACCATGAAGGACAGTCTGAAGCAAGGGCTAAAACTAAGGCCAAGAAGTGTTAAAATGCAGACCTAGATTCCAGATTCAGCTGTTGCTGCCTGAAATGTCTGGGCTTCCCCTCTCTTATCCAGCTCCTGCTTCTGAGGGTGAGGCCAAAGGAGGACCCGGCTGGGTGGGCTCAGAAGGACCCAAGAACTTTGCAAAGCACAGGAATGATAGATACAGCAGGGCATCTGCACCATACAGGTCCCTCCTGCACTGTGTAGCTGAGTGCAGAACACAAGGATAGTGTAGGGGATTGTGTGCAGTATAGCACAGCACAGGGCCTGGGGTTAGTGTGGTCTACATGGTGTGTGGCTGAGGGTTCTGCCACCTTTTGCCACTCAAGTTGGACAGCTGTGGCAGACTTCCTGGCTGTATTCTGCCTTCTTCCATGGGAACTACTTAAAGGGAGATAGATACTCAACTTTTTTTCCTATAGGCTAGCCAGCCTCTTTAAGACTCAGTCTCATCTGATGCTAGCTACAGCTAGATAAGGGCTGAGTCCAATCATTTGTGTTACCATTTTATCTAAAGGCCTTTGTAGCATGAACTGAACTAATGTAGCTGATGTTAACACAGAGTGTAATAATAGTGAAACATAACCATGTTAGTCTTGTCCTGTAAGCAACTTGAAAACTCCTTTTTGTATCCTTCTGCTTGATATAAAGGCTATGGAAAGTTCATTCACTTCTGTATGAGTGTGTGTAAAGGGTGAATGGTGAGAGAATGGTATAGAGATTCAACTGTTTATGTAAGCAACAAGGCATCAAATATAAGTAACCAACCACTAACTAACTAACAAATGGCTGAAGAATCCCTTTGAAGCTCAGAGGCACAAAGGAGATAACAGAAGAAGTTCTGCCAGATGGGCAACAAAAAACACTCTTAAGGCTAAGATAAGCTGAAGACAAAAGAACAACCGCAAAAACAAGCTGGGTATGGAAAAACCCCAAAGCACTGAAACAAAGGATGCCTATCCCTATAAAAGAACACTTTGAAAATGTTAAGTTGGGTGAGTCTCTTTCTCTGCTGTTTCATCAGAGCACAGACACATCTGTTCACCCCGCTGCAGCTGTTATCTTCAAATCATCATCATCTACTCAATAAGTCCAGGGTGAACAACTATTGCTGGTAACGGTATCTGGTGTGTGTGTGGATGAAATGGTTGTTTTGTGTATGTGTATGCCTGTGTGTAATATGTATGATGATTTGTGTGTGTTTGTATGAACAGTGTGCTTGAACCTCTATGTCTAACTCCTGTAATCAATGCCTTATCCCCCTATCATAAAGTCTCGCTCATGATTTGAGCAACTGGCAATTTGTGTAACACCTTTTGATACGTTTTGGGCTGCATCTTTTCTGCAACCGTTTCTTTTTCTTACACCACCAAATGGCTTCCTTGCACTTAATTCTGTGGTTATAAGCATAAGATGAGGTGTATCTAATTCATATCTACAAGTTTTCATCAGCTACCGCCTACCTCTTCCTTTAAATCTACCCACTAGTTCTATCCTTAACTCTCCACCTGCTCCTTCCTCTAAGCTTCACCTACCAAAACACACCCAAGTTACAATTGATTTAGCAGTGACTTTGCTCGGGTTCAACCCTGAATACTAAAGAAATTGTTCCCCCTTCCCCCCTGACTTGTTTGGTAGGTGTGGACATCCACATTGAAGTAGGAATTCTCATTGTTAATATGCATGTAAAGTTTAACTTCAAGATTTATTCTTATTCTAAAAGTTGCTTTCCAAATTCATTCCATCTGACAATTTTCATCTGTGTATGGAAGCTTATGTACAGTAGAGCTAGTTGACAAATTTATCAAAGAAGTTTACAACCAGAAAATGTCAAATTTCACTATCTTCATTTTACCTTAGGCTGCTTTATTTCCTTTCATTTCCAATATGGAAAGGGAACAACATCATTCTATGATATGAAGAACTGGTCAACAATTATTGGATGTGCATAATAGTGCCACCCCATCCCTCCACTTCTGTGGCTGTCATCAGTTGCAGGTTTAATAATTTTTATATATATATTTTTAATAAACTCACTGAAAATGAATCCAACATTAATACTATATTTGTAAAGCCTACAATTTTAGAAATTTAGAAATTTCTTCAATATGCTGGATCCATGAGCTTCTAAGAGGTTACAGCCTGTATGCTTTTCTATATCAAGAAATCACCAAGGAAAAGCCATTTAACTTTTGAGGTATCAAGTTTTAGAAATACAGACAACATACTGGATTAAGAGCCTGACCTTGTGGGGGACTCAGGGAATGTGCTATTGTGTGCCAGAACCTGACAAAGGCATCACCGACATTGGGACACACTTAGATGTTGTCATACTTTTCTTTAAAGCAACTTGACAAATCATGAAAATAACTGTATTTACTCAAATCCCCCACCTGACTTAGCCAGAGAAAAAAAGTCTTACATTTACATTAAATACTTTACCTATCTTTGAAACGCTGAAAAAAGCACTGTTTTTCAAGTCATGGTGAGTCACTGAATACATTTAGACTTCATCTTTACTCCCACAGCTGAGCTGCACCTTTTTTTCCCCATTTCCCGAGTCCTGTTTCTTCACCAGTCTTTAATGCCCGGCAAACATCACCAAACAGGACCCCAAACAGTTTGTCCCTTCATCTGTTGCATATGATTAACATAACTTCCTTCCACCCATGAGGTTAAGCCAGACCAGGTTGCCCTATGCCTTTTCTGCATATAATTTTTTGAAGGATCCCAGGACTCATGACAATAACACCTGTTTCCATTCATAAAGGGGATATGGGGGGCTTTTTAACACATGGATCGTTTGTGGGGGTATTCAAGTACACATAGTGCTGAGCTGTTGAGTCAACCTGATTTGAAATGCTGCTGGAGCCCAGCCCACTGAACAATATGGTAAATTATGAGTCTTTTGACTTTGGACCAAGATCATGCATAGTTTGTACTATATGTAAGCATAAGGTGCTAAAGTGCTGCTTAAAAGTGTGTTTATGGAGTACCTGGGCTAAAACTTGCAGCAGTTTCAAAAAAAGGTAAAATGCATTAATTCTGTTGGTATAATATGCAAATCAATGCAGTCATGTTTATTTGAATAAAAAGCAATCTTGAAATTTTCTTCTCACTTCCATGTGCTCATAAAAAGTAGGGTCTGACACTAAGGAAGGTGCTACCTGACCCCCAGATTTATTGTCCCTGCTGTAGCAGTGAGAAGGGGACAAATTCAAGAAAGGCCCTCAATAATTAGATTCTATATCTGGAAAACGATAACATTTATAAATTTTCCATATACAGAATCTAATTATTGGGGGGTTGTCTTGTAATCAGGGTGGTCTTATATTTGAGAAATTACTCAGTAAAAATCAGCAATGTATAATCCACCATTTTCTAACAGTAAAAGGTAAAATCTGAAAAAAGTTAAAGCTTTAATTTCTTAAATGCATAGTTATATTATACCCACCCTAGGTAGCAAAAAGATGCACCAAAAATACCAATTTACTTGTTTTAACAGAATTATAGAAAAGTAGGGCTGGAAGGGACCTCAGGATATCATTTAGTCCAACTCCTGGCCCAAAGCAAGGTCATTTCTAAACCATCTTACGCCGTGTTTTATCAACTGATTATAGAGTATACCTTTCTTTTGAAAATAAGTACTAAAATGGAAAAGTCAATTACAATCACTAATTTCAAATCAAGGGTGTTCAATTGCTAAGGTTCATCAATCCAGCCTGATGTTTCCTCACCAGCTCCTCTCCCTACAGTTCTGACATACCAACACACTTCCATTGGCAATAACTGCCATGTGTGTTTGCATAACATGTGTGTGTTGTTATAACAGACTATTTCTGATTCACAGCACATCAGTTAGCAGATCTCAAAATCAAGCAACCTGATCTTTATTTTTAGTGAAGTGATGAGACTTAAATGAGTGCTGAAAGTCACTTTTTTATTTTAAGTATTATTTAGTACTTTGCTGTACACTCTCTCACACAACATAGCCTGGGATATGATCCACACCTTAGGCTTTAAAGACAGACTGAAGAAAAAACATTATTTCTTTGTAATACCTGAATAGTAGCAGATAGGGAATAGAACCTGCTCACTGTTCTGCTCCTGAAGAATCACATGCAGCTTTACTTTTGCTTTAAGAGGCAGAAACGGCCCTAAACGTATTTTCTTGCAAACAATGCACACTCCAAAATTTCCAACAGCTGTTTTTTGGGGAAAGAGATGCATGTTGTATACAAGAAATATGGTATATGGGAAACATTTGTACATCTGAATACGAGAAACATTTATACAGGTATAACTCTGCCCCGCCTACATGAAGTTTGATGTTACCTACCACAGGAAACAAGCCCTAGAAGTTTCTCTCAAATTATCACTTCATCACAGTATGCAGTAGTTGCCACAGATGAATGGTAAAAATTAAGGTGAGGTTGGAAAGCATGAATATTTTCAAGGCAGATCATTAAGTTTGTATGCATAAGCAGACCACTAAAGTCAGCAAACAGTTAGTTACTCAATTTTTCATAAAGACCCTAACTAGCACAATTTTTGCTCCAAAATCTAATTTTTGGAATGTTTAAAATAATATCCAACCATTATGAAAAAAATTGTGGCAGACATATTGCACAAAAAAAACCCAATCACTCTATACTTTATAAAATGGTTTAATGAATGCATGCATGTCTGATACAATGATCAATAAATTTATTCAATTCAAAATTATTTACTGTTGTAAACATTTTACAAAAGCATTATGATTTATCTGGATATACAATCCTTGATGGAAGAATTATTCAGAGTAAATCAGTGGTACATTAAAAAATAAAGCCAACCAGACTCATTCTACATACTGTCTTTCAACATGATTCCAGCAAGAGAAACAGCATGGTATAAAAGTGTACAGCAAAGATTGTTCCTACCATAATGTCAAACTCTGGAAACTGTAAATACATATTAAAAGTGGTTGAACAGTCAAAGTCATAATTGTAACCAGTCAGAAATTACAGTAAGAAATGTTATCCAGTTATACTTAGCTGTCAAAATGAGTTCCTTTCCTTGTCAGTTGACTAGAATTCTTTTTCAACAGGCAGCAAAACTTTGGCAATTGGAAGTGTTGAAAATAACTTTCAAAGTTCAAGACAGTCACAGCATTTTCTTTGTCAAAGGTGATTTGTACACCAAGGCTCAGAGGTTGTGAAAATTGGTTCCAAGTGGAAAAAAGTGCAAAACATCCTGCACAGATAGCTTAAAAAGCTGCTGGTACAATCATTAACCAACAGAATCTTTGTTTTCTTTTTGCATAGTTCACACATCACTGGGAATGTGAAAAAGGTGTGCTATTTTTGGCAAGAGCAAGAAGGAAGTGATATTGGTGTGTGTTCCCATATTGGGCATGCTGGATCCATGCAGAATTTTAGGTAGAAAGCTGCTACCTGATGTTATTAGACACTGAATACTGATTCTGTTTTTGTTGAAGCAGTTCTGTAATAGCCAGAAGCTTCTTAAGAACATGCTGCAGAAAGAAAGTCAAAATTAATAAAATTATGCATAAACAATTAGGGAAAATTTATATTGGAAAACCAATCTTTCACACATCTTTCAATTGTAACTATGTATGCAGTTTCACATTAGTATGCATGAGTGCTATTACATCATTTACTTGAAGAATGGAATTGGTCTGATTTCTTACATGCATGATTCTAAAGAATGTTTGTCTCAGTGACCATACCAAGGGTAGTACATTTAATTTTTTTAAAATTCAGAAATGACTACTCTTGCCACCCCAGCCTGGGAACTGGAACTCAAGTTGAGTTGCTTCCTTCTTACATGAATTAAACAGCACAGGATCTGCAAGCTTAAAATTCTTTTAGTTATATCAGAGGTAGAATTTAACTGGGCAGTTGAAAGATAATCTAATGCAGAAGGATCAGAATACAGTCTACCTTTTCCTTGTGTTGACTCCACAAAGGCTAAGAGGAACTTAAAATGATCAATAAAAACTTGACTTGGTCACTGAAATTACCAGACACAACTGAATGCACGCAGATTATGCTAAGAAGGTCCAGCTTTTTACTTACTGATTGTTCACAGTTTAGTCCTGAGTTTACTAAATCAGAAAGTGGCCTGTAACATTTAGAACTGATTTATATTTAAACTACCTCACTGTAATTCTTAACTGTCACATCTTTTCCTTCCTCCATAACAAACAGAGGTTTAGAGAATTTATCTTAATAACGATCTGAACTTCAGTTAGACAAATACAAAAACATCAAAGAGAAAATACTGCCTGCATAACTGTTAAATATTTCAAAATTTCTCAAAAACAATCCTTAGTCTGTCTGACACCTATTTTGAACTACATTAATTTAAGTAGACTAAAAACCAAACAAAACTGGCCCCTAATCTATGGCTACGTAACATTACCCTGGTTATGAAAAATTTACAAATCCTACCTTGTCAATTCAACCATTGGTAACACATATCAGAGATATACCTGCCCTAGAGCTGCCTAAAAAGTGTGCTTAAAACTAGTTGCAAGTGTTAATATGTAGACAATCCAGGGGTTAAGAGCTCCAGGAGCTTCCCAAAAATAATGTGCAACAAAGCCCTAAGCAGAACATGGTTTGAAGCCCAAGAGATGATTCTCTTAGTAGACCAGAAAATCTAGCTAATGCTGTTTCCAAACTCAATGCACTTCAAAAAGCAGAAATGAAGTAGTGGTTGAAAGGTAACAAAACCAAGAAATTCACTAGTCCATCTAAGAAAAATCTAGATCCCACACCAGAACCATTAAAACATAGCACATGGGAAATATTCTAGGACACAGGCCTCTTCTAGGCACTTCAAATGGCTTCAGGCTCTGTTGTAAAAACATTCAATCACGAGAAATTAAAAACCAAGAAATATGTACTTGCATCTACCTACCTCACCCCCACTGTACTAATGAAATGTTCCTATTTGAAAATATTTGTCCTTACTACAGCCATGCTAAAATCATCAAATAAGCAATACTTAAAAGTTAAATTAGGACTGAGTACCAAAAACAATAATCTTTTAAGTCTACATATTTTCTACAGCAACTCTTACCTGCATTACGCCTCGCTCATTACTGAGTGTCCGAAGCTCATCTGAATGTGCCACACAAATCTCGTGCAAGGCTGCTAGATCACGAGACATGTCAGTTCTAGAATGTTCTATAGTGTCTGGCAGGTCAGGTACATTCTTTAACAAGAATTATAAAAAAAAAGACACATTTAGAATTGCTATTCATACAATAGAAAAAGCAAAATCACCTTACCCTTCTCAGAAAACTGTAAAATTGTGAAGTTTAACACTACTGATGTTGAAAATAGTTGCAACATAATATGCAGCATAATATTCTTAGTCAAACAAGTCTTCTATCCACAATCTCTGACCAAGTCAAACAAGTCTTCCACCCATGGTTCCTCTTCCTTCGCTAGTAATATTTTGCTTTTACAAAAGACTAAACAATTACAAAAGCAAGTTGTTACAGAATACTTCTATTTTGCATGTCCTGGCCTTAATATGGATGTTCTGGTGTTATAGATTGCTAACATATTATTTTCTCTTCTAGCTAGGACAACAGCCTAGCTGTTATCCTATGCTGTTGCTCCCACTTTGATTTGACCAGCAAGATATACTATGAGAGATATTTTCCTCCTCCTTCCCTGAAGGCAAATAATATGTATTCATTCATATTTTTTTCTATATTTGGATATCTCAACAGCAAAAATGGGAAAGCAGAACTTAACTGTCAAGTTAATGACTATAATAATGGACAAGATGTACACTAATCATGTTAACATTATGTGCAATTACAAGTGAATATGTACATTTTAAAAAATTAAAATCAGAGGATCAAAGTATTTAGATAGGGACAATTAAAGGCAGCTGGTTGCCCCTAACTCAAATAAGATGATAGTCACCTAATAATGCATCCTTTTGTAAGCAGCAATTTCAATGTACTGTGTATCACGAATAATCTAAGATACCTCACTAGGTTCATTATTTAGGCTTCAACTCAGGAAAATATATTTATACTACGAAGAACTTGGGCAGCCTAAATTTTTGCTTTCCCAAATCAAACCTTTGACACTGTGGATGGGTACAGACATTATACATACACCGTTATAAGCAACTGGAAACCAGTTTAAACCTGTAACAGAACAGAAGTTCAGCGCACAAACTGATTTAAAAATGGCAGAATCTGGTCTAAGATAGACCTGAATCGTTATAGTATCAGACTTAACTGGTTTAACGAACTTCTGGACTCAACTTAGGCTGTAGTCTCCCAGCATCCCAGGTGCCTTTGGAGGCCCTGCTCCCCTCTGCCCTGGAGGGCTACATGCAACCTCAACTGCACTTGTCTGCTCTGTTCGTGTGCCAGGCAGCCCCTGAGCTGTCACAGGGCCTGGATGGAGCCGGCAGAAGCAGAGAAGCACGGGTGGGGTGGGAGTATGAAGGCCCCTCAGGCCTGGCCTCAGCCTCCTGAGATTCAAGTAAGCACAGATGAGGGGGTAGGGGGGCCCCATGTAGAGAGGTGGCTCCATCCCCTTCATGTCTCTCCCTGCAAGGCTGTCCAGCTTGGCTGACAGCCCCACACAGCTCTTATGGCTCTTGCTTTGTCAACTGAGCCAGGCAACTGGGGGAGAACAGAGGCCCCTACCACAGAGGCCTGGCCCCAATCTGCCCAGGCCCGAGCAAGCACAGCTTGCGGGGGGCATGGCCCCCCTCCACTGCCACTGACAGCTGGAGAGAGAGGCCATGCTGGGAGGTGTGCGGGAGCGTCTCCTACCTTCTGGCCTCAACCAGTGAAGGTATCTGCATGCCCCACCTCCACCAAAGGGCGAATGTGCATTTCACTTGCTCCTGATCCAATCTAAAACAACCCTGCCTAGGTCTGATCGATTCTGCCTCGGGCTTTTTGAATGCCTGTACCTAGCCTGAGAGAGTCATAGTTTAGAAAAGTAGTATATTATATGCAACTCCTTTTCTGTTACAACAGTTGCATATATTCTGATGGTAATTTACCCTGTTTAACTTGAAGTGGAATATAAAAAAAAATTAACCTAAAAATAATACACAGTACCTCAAAACTACCGTAGTAACTTAGAATTCAAGTTTTATTTTTTTGGGGATCAGACTTGCCAATCTCTCCTAGACCCACTGAGTAAGCAAGTATGAGTCTACTGGTATGAGCCACTATTCTCTTTTGAAGTGTGGTTTTCTGTTTTGCAGAAAAATAAGAATTGTTTGATTCCATTCATATCTGTAATGCCATTCTACTGCACGCAGGCTGGCATGAGTACAGTGCATATCACGTGTCACATTAAGATCAACAATATTTCTTTCTATCAACACCAAGACCATAACAGGTAAATTGTAAGCTAAGATGCTCACTAAATAGGGGTATTTGAGATGAGGCAGAAGTTGCTGGATTTAAGAGCCAGTTAATGAGGTCCTTTAAGATTAAGTTACTCGTCTGTCATATGTTTCCTACATATGCATCTAACTTCCCCACGTACTCTTACCCCAAGTTCATCTAAGAACATGATCATGCGATGTTTGTTGCTCTTGATGAATGGATTTACCCCCTCCATGTACGGCTCCTAAAATTTAAAAAAGCAGCATTGTAATAGATATCAATTTAGTAGTCACATCTACCTACTATATAATGCAATAGCTAGTATCTCTCATTCTATTTCTGGTTCTTCCTCAGGGTGGATACTCTAGGTCAGTGGCTCTCAGCCTTTTTTGTACCAGGAACCCTGCCAGCCTGAAGGGGGGAACCTGTGGCTTCCCATATTTTTTGCCTTTAAAGGAGAATCCATTTTTAAAGTTTGTTCACGACCCTTTCATATATTTTTGCAACCCACTTTTAGGTCATGAGCCACAGGTTTGGAGATGCTGCTCTAGGTGGACTTATACATGTTTCCTTATATGTGTACACTGGCTATGGTACACACTTAGAATTTAATTTTGAGCATATTTAAGACAAATGTGCACACAATTGCAATATTACTGGAATGCACTTTAAGATTAGGGGCCTAATATTTGGTCTTTTCCTTTTAATAACAGTTAAATTTCAAATTATTTTTCAGTGTTATTTCTTCCTCATGTATAAAAGGGTCTTTGAAATCAGGCCATCAGGCAAAGCGGCTCTGATCTCTTAGTGATGCAATGGAAAACTTCACAAAATTGTTGATATTCTAAGACCTTGGAAAAGTAGACTCTCAATCCTGACTCCAATCAACCCCAGACAGAAAGGAATACCAGCTGTACAGCAATATGAAGCAGCACCTGAAGTAAACAGGAGAAAAGCCGCTCTCCAAATGAGAACTGAAGTCAGTAGCCTCTTTGAGCTATTTCTAGGACTTCCAAAAAGCTTGCCTAAAGTCTGGAAGACCAATTGGTGTCTCAATTTGAAAGCAAATAGCTATCAGTAGTTCTGATAAAAATGTAATCAATGGATGCTGTCCAGATAAGGTGCTCAACAGAGCTATTTAAGAATTACAATTGTCCTCTTTCCACTCTTAAGCAATCCATGGAAATGCCAGGATATTTTCAACCATCATGTCAGAGCTACCAATGCATTCTGTTCCACCTTTCTTCTTCTTCCATCAGGCAAGAGAACAAACAGATCAGGGCTCACTCCAAAATCTTAATACTTTTTTAATGGAGGCTTACTTTCACTTTCTACTTTAATATCTGGAGACAATATATTACTTTGTATGGGAATAGCAGGCCAAATCAGTCATTGACATTTTATCTGGCAAGTGCTTAAAAAGTCTTTCCTAGGATCTTAATGGTATAAATACTTGTTTTATGAGGAATTACATTCTTTCCTTTTTTGGAAACAACTGTTCTCATTAGGACTCTGTACAGAGTGAAAGCTGAAATCCTTGTTCTAGAACTTTTTAGATTCATCCACGGAAAATCATGGTCTCTGGAATAACAACAGATGCCTTCTGTGGTTGCAGAGTTAAGTTTCTGATCTCTGCACGCACTGCCTATGGAAAAAGGCAAGGCAGACCAAATGGAAGAAACTGGAAACTGCCCTAAGAAATACCACAACTGAGTTTGGTAGTCTGGTGATTGACTGTTTTGTACCATGAAACACCATTGAAGTTCCCCAAGGTCCCTCTATTATCCAAGATGTGGTGGATCATGGACTCTTACAAGGCTGGATAACATCTTAGCTAAGTGCCTTCCTGCTCTTTCTACTGTTTCTTAGAACCATATAAAAGCAGGAAGGAGAGTGCAAGTAGTGATGTTACTTATGCCTTTCTTGACTGAAGAGGCCAGACTCTTGGGCCTGAGTACTTAGCACTGGACCTTCTGGTGCTCTAACCAACAAAGACAGTGCTCCATCCAGCACTGGATAGGTTAAAAATGGATTTATGGATGAATATTACCTGTCACAGCTTGTAAAAAGGATGAATGGAATTTATTTGGCTCTACCTGCCTAAGCAATGACCATAATTAAATTATGGCAAATAAGTCAAATATAACCTTGAGTTCCTCCAAGAGTCTTGCTGTAGTTGTTTAAGTGTCTAAGCCAGGGGTGGGCAATTATTTTGGCCCGAGGGCTGCTTAACAAGTTTTGGTTATCTGTCAAGGGCTGCAAAGTTAGCCCCTGCCCTGCCCCACCCCACTCCCTGGTTGCCATCTTAGGACTGGAAGTCCCACACCTAACCCTTGACCTTTGCCACCTGAAGTCCCTTCCCTTGCCCCAGAGGTACTCCTTTTGGGAGACAGAGGGAAAGGAGTGCCATCTTGGAATCAGAAAAAAACCAAAAAAAACCAAGTCATATACTAAATAAATAAATCTACTATAACATTTTTGATTTTAAAAATTTTTGTCCTGATGTATGTACATTTGCATAGTGTATATAGAGATGATTGCATTAGAGCTCAAAACAGTTTTTCTCTGATATATTGTGTGTGTCAAGGGAAGGATAGTTAGGTGTATTTCAGGTGTGGGTTGGGGGAGTGGCTGTGAGTGTCTGGCGGGGTGTGGGGAAGTGTGGGAGGGGTCCTTGGAGTCCCTGGAGCGTGCAAGTCCCCAGAGCGACCAGCCCCACATGGCCCCAAAGCGCGCAGCTCCCATGCTCCCCACCAAGGGTCCCTTACCTGAATTTCTGTGCTCACAGGGAGGGAGGGCTGGAAAACAGTCATAGGGTTGCTGGGCAAAAGCCTCTGCCAGGCAGAAGCTTCTCATCTCTAGCACCCCCAACCTTGGGGCTAGGGGCAGGTCAGGCTAGGCTGGAATCGGGGCTGGTTGCTTAGCAACCAGAGCTGTACTTCCTGCATGGAGGCATTGGCTTTCGGAGGGGCAGCCAAGGGCTAGGGCCCATGATCATTCTTTTGGCTCATGGAGGGGCCCTGTGGGCCGGATAGAACCATCTGGCAAGACAGATCCGGCCCATGGGCTAAGCTAAAGCGTAAGTCCCTACATCATGTTATTGGAGTATTCAAAACAAGAAAGTTTTCTTTTGCCTTTTTTTTTTTTTTTTTTTTTTAAACAAAGCCTGTTAATAGTCATTAAAGATACAAGGTCACAGAGCATGTTATTGTAGCCTCATCCCATTCTTTACAGCACTAGCCACAACGAATCTGGGGATAGGTTTATACTTTCAATCTGTTAAAGTATTGTACTTTGAATTCAAACAACCAGCACAGATTTAATTCCCAAAGAAAATAACAGCCAATCATTGGACTGTAGGGAGAGCATCTACGTATGCACAACGATCCAATCCCATAGTCTGCAATAAGATGTAGCTGTTTGCCTCCCCAACCCAAAGCATATAGTACAATATACATCTCAGAAAAGTACTGAAAATATAAACCAGATTATTCAGACTAGAAATGTTCTCAGCTGGAAGAAATTTCAGCAAACAAGACATTCCTCTATTAGAAGTGACAGACAGGTCTGGTCCTGCCCCCAAGCTCCAAGTAAACTGACCCACTCATTGTAATGGATATTTTAGCCTTGGCACAAGGACAAAAGGGAATTTTCATGTACTTCTAAGCTTTCTTTTCCTCTGCAAATGGGAGCTAGTAACTGCAGAAAAATAAGAATTTACCCACATTTGAAATCATAAAGGGCACTCATCTGTTTTTTGGGGGAGGAGGAAAAAGGAGTCTTGTACCTCTAAAACATTTTATAATTTAGTTATGATGTTAGGTCATGTTGACAGAATGACTTTACACATTACAATATGACTCATCAAATGAAAACTTACAAATGTTGTAATGTACATTACATGATAAAGATTTAACATTCCTTAACTATATAATTCTATTTAAATATACTTATTCACCTTAGCTCCAAACTCAACCAAATTTGCTAAGTTCTGCACAGACTTGGCGACCAGCGTCAGTGTTCTTGCAGCAGTAGGGGAAGGGGAATCTGAAATATAATGATTTAATGCAACCAATTTAATCTAAAACTACAGTAGAAACAACAGCAAAAACATATATTCAACAGTCACACAGTCATTATAAACAAAGTAATGATTCAGGAGAAAACTTATGACAACTGGTAAAGTCTGTTTTTTTAATTAAGACGACAAGGTTCTTTGGGTAAATAGTTGGAAAAATTGCTCTTTGCAAGCTTTCAGGCACAAACAACCCTTCTCCAGGCATATTGAGAGTCTGATGGTTAAATTAAAGATTTTATGAAATTCAAAAGAAAGGGCATTCAGAAGGACATACAAATTCACATATCAAATTTCCTAAAACAGTGAATATACTCTTCATGTGCATGAAAAAGGAATGTGATTACTGGGAAGTCTGAGTTTTTGTGAATTAACTTTAAAAAAAAATCTTTCTACAAAAATACTGAAATGCATTAATTACAGCAGCATGCTTCTCTGAATTAATCTAATATTTCAATTTAAAAATATACTGAATGAGAATTAAGGCTACATCTCTTTCCTTTCATTATACACATACTAATGATCATGCACATTTGACTACTAAGTTGAAATTAACAAGTCTTGCCATTTCCTTCTAATGGAAGAGGAACATAAATTCACTAGTTTTTATTTGAATGTATGTGGTAAACTGGTGTATATTACACAGGCAAACATTCTTATAAGACAATCTCTATAACAAGCCATCAAGATTTCCTTATGCCTATCCCACTGCTACCTACCAAAATCAAGGAGGCAGACAGTCAAATTCACGGGCCAATCATGGGCTGGTCACCATTTTCACAGGCTTATTCTGGCAGTCCCCCTGATGCCTCTGATTGGCCAAGGGGTCCCAGTGGCCCTGTCCCTTTCCACTGATTGGTCAAGGGCTGTCCACCATGCGGCCCCATCCCTCTGCTGACTGGCCAAGAGGGGTGGGGTCACATGATGGGCAGTCCTCTCAGCCAATCAGTGGCGAGGGGTGGAGGGCAGCTGCCATCTTGGCTACTCCCCTTTGCGCCATCAGCTCCACCCCTCAGGCTGTGCAGCTGGGCCACAGTAACCATGAGGACTTTTATGTTTAGTTCTCCCCGGCTCTCCCTCTGCAAATTTCACAGACATTGTCCAAGTTTGTGGACAATGCCTGGTTTCGCAACTTCCATGACATTGTGAACTGAGTAGGCCCCTACCCATTACCAGCAGTAGAGGACACTGAACATGCTGCTGGTACTAGATCACTATATGCCAGGGGCCACTCTTTATTAGTTAGGGAGAGCATTGCTTTCAGTTTAAAAGTGGACTATTTAAATGCTCTAACTCTTACTCAAAAAGTCATAAAAGTTGCAGTTCATGACAAGAATGTTGGGTAGGAACAAATGTGAGGACATTTGAAAAAGGTATTCCTTAGGTACCATTTTTAAGAACAAAATGTAAAAAATCAAGTTTTTTATCTACTATCAATTTTTTATCGACTTTAAACTTTACTAACAGAAAACGGTTTTCGGACACTTAACTGGCTGGATATAATACAATCACTGAACTCCAGCTGCATCCATTTACTATTAATTTGCATCCTATTCTGAGCAGTTTTTTTCCAAAGACCTGTCTTGTGCATGTTTATTACACTCTGGTAGGGCACTTTTTGTAAGTTTCATCCTGAGACCCAAAATTTCTATTTTTTAAAGCCTCCCAAATCCACATACAGATTTTTCCTTAGAAGTACTGTCAAGAATAAATAGAAGGGAGATGAAAGAATCATGTAAACATGTTCTCCAAGGAATTAAAACAAAGCACAATCAAGACTAAAGCAAGCTGCTACATGATTTTGGTTCAGTGTCTAGCTATATCTTTCCCTTACCAATGTGGTCTGTTCCTAATATTTTCATATTTGTTTTCAGTGCAAGACAAAAGGAGAATGGGATAGTATGGCTTGCAACCAAAAGACTGCTAGCATAGGGAATGGAAAGGATTATGAGAAGGTTTGCACAGCGTAGCATGCAGTAAATTGCCACTGCAATCAGAGCAAAGGGCATGGAGTATTATCCAGAATTCTTATTCTGAACAAGCTATTTTGGTATGTATCCGGGTATATCTCCATTAGCCATAGAGATCTGTCTGTATTATCACCACATGGCTGACTATCCTCAAAGTAAGACATCACCCTTGTATACCTATACAGACAAGTTCCAAAATTAAGTGCTGAAATGAAGCATACTTGATATCTCCACCATTCATTACAACTATACATCAAACAGCAAGCAGTTAAATTAAATTCAAAACTGTAGAACACAGCAAACAATGGCATATTTTCTTAACTCTTCCCTGCATCTGTTTTTTACAGTAATCCTTTTCAACAATTTTCAGTAATTACTGTCAGCAACAAGGAACAGAGTTAAGGCTGTGTTCTGAGGATAGCATATAAACTTAACTTTTAAGTTCTAGCTTTCAAAGGTTTAAAATTCAGGGACTTTCCCCATTTGAGAAGGGCATGAAGTCCAAGTGGGCAACTTTAAATAAGACTTTGGCATTTAATATTTAACTAATGTATTATCGGAAGGCAAAAACAAAAGTTGTTGTAACCTACTAGAATTTACAGATCCGTCATTAAAACACTGTGGTGCATGTGGTATAAACCAGAAACAAGTACTCTCTCTCTTTCCTGTTGAAGCATGTTTGCTAAGTCTATAACTCAGACCAATGGATCTGGTGAGTATGAGGCAACTACAACCTATTCCATTTACTGTACTTATATTCAGATTCTGGAATGCATAATCACCTGAGATGATATTAAACATCCTTGGATTCAGGATCGCAGGACAAATCAGTCGGAGAAAAACAAAGCCACTGAAAAAGGAAGGAAAACATTTTATTCAATAACAAAATTCTAGTATTTAATGTAAAACCCATATGACCATTTAAGCTTCAAGACTGTGGAAATAGACTCTGAGACAGACATGTAACTTATCTTGAACACAGAGAATGTGGTCATTTAACCTCTTACTATGGTTTTACCTTTAATACATGGTATTACCTTTAATGCCACTTATTCTTCCACTATGCCACCCTATGCTCTCACTTCTTCATGATGAAAACAACACATAGCACTTTTGGCATAATAGCCTGGTTATCCAAAACTAAATAGTCTGGCTATAACTCAGCACTGAAATTGATCAGGCTGTTGAAGGGTAGAGTTCTGTGATATAAAATTTTAAGGATCATATAGGTCCTTCTTCTAGGCATCTCTGCTTCTAAATCATATGCTCTTGTTTAAAGGGTAGAAGAAACCACTAGCAAAACTCTTATCAGATAACCATTCATATTGAGGTGATCCTCCCATCTCCACTTTGCAGCTAAAAAGTCAATTGATCAAGCAAAGTAACAGTAGCGAACAAAAAGGCTAAGGTTATGTTCCTATTTTCTCTATTATAGGATGCTTATTGAAGTAAATTATCTAAAAGAAAAGGACTTTCCCATTTGAATTTTCAGCCACTCGGAACGTTTCTGCTGATATCTATGCCAGTTAGCTTCTTTTTTTTTTAAATTACAAGCAAATAGTTAAGTTCCTCTCAAGTAGCTGGATCAGTATATCTTCCAACTAGAAGCTGAGCTGCATTTCCAAGCTCGGTTCTTGATGTAGCAACATAGCAATGAAAGCCTTTCTCCGTCTACTTTCTGCCCTGCTATCCATTTCTTCAACTTAAATTCTAAATGATGCAGCAGTGAAGAGGCACTCTTTCAGTCTTAAGTATTAAACTAGAAAACAGGACAGCTTCTAATCAACACCTGCATGCACTTTCTATATTTTCTCAACTGCAATATACCCCCAAATAAAAAGCCCACCTTGTTTTAGAAGGAAGAATGTAGAGAAGAAAAAAAATGTCCAGAGTCATGGCTGACTCTGTAACACAGAGTAAGTCCTCGTGGGAACAGAGTATCCAGAAAATACGGCACCAGGAAGTTTCTGGTTCCAGCTGCCTCACCTAGGTTGTCCCCCAAGAGTGTCCAGAAAATGTGGCATCCATATTCCCAGGAGGAATTAATCTCTCTCACACAGTTACACTCCAGACTCATGCAAAGGCAGTAGCAAGACTGTTAACTCTGTAAATACTGCAAGTAGTTCTTTATAGAAGTTCCTGTAAATAAATTGTTGTTTCCACATCAAAAGTGTCATCAAGACTATTCGTAGTTCACTTCCTGCTTCAGGCATAAGCTACAGTGCTAAGCCAACAGCTCTGAGATGGTTAACACAGGACTCCACGGTCTTGGCAGTCATCTTGGCACCTGCACAGCATGTACAATGTTGCTTCCTTTCCAGCAAAGGAAACAGCTTCTCCACTTAAAATATGTACCCCAATTTTTTTTTCGGGGGGGAAATGGTAGAGATTGTCAGCTTTGCATCCAGTATCTAGCAAAGGAGAATCTTTTCTGTGCTACAATCAGCTGCTGTAGTTTTCTTCAAATTCATAGATGTTAGGGTCGGAAGGGACTGGAAAGGTGAAGGTGTATGTGAGAAAATATGGTATCTCTATAAAAATGGTAGAGATTGGCAGCTTTGCATCCAGTATCTAGCAAAGGAGAATCTTTTCTGTGCTACAATCAGCTGCTGTAGTTTTCAGCTAGATGCCTATCTAACCTCCTCTTGAAGACCCCCAGGGTAGGGGAGAGCACCACCTCCCTTGGGAGCCCGTTCCAGACCTTGGCCACTCGAACTGTGAAGAAGTTCTTCCTAATGTCCAATCTAAATCTGCTCTCTGCTAGCTTGTGGCCACTATTTCTTGTAACCCCC